CTGAAAATCCTGATAGTATCTCAGACTGAAGTTACTATGGCAGCCCATGTTTTAATCCAGGTATGTTGTGTTCACTCGTGATGAAAAGCGTTCCCTCCTGAACCTTGATGCATACCCAGCCCTATGAGAAAAGATTTTTTGGTGGTGGTTCCAGTGTTAGGGTTTGGTAATTTGCTCTGCGTTGATTAACATTTGCACATGGCTTCCCCTGAGCCTTTTCCTCCATCCTCCTGCCCCTCCACCCGCTCCACCTCCGTGCCGGCAACCCCCGGCTGAAACAACGGTCCAGCCCAGCGAGTGCCAGTACACCAAGTAGTAGCACGGCTTCTTTGCTTTATGTTCTTTTCTTTACAAGGGAGAAAGTGGGAGTCTTCACACAAGGGAAGACTTTGTTTTCCTCTTTCTGTTGTCTGTGATCCCCACCTGTTGTATATATGGTAAAAATATCTGGGACTTATAACCCAGCAACAGTACGCAGCCAGAGTCATGTGTGACCGGGTCAAACACACACTCGCTGGAGGGTCATGGCCAGGTTACTAAGTCAAGGCTGGCAAGTCTCCACGATAATGTTTTCTTTCTCTCTCACTCGTTTTTGTTGTTTTTTTTTTCCTTCTCTCCTTGTCTGTCTTCCAAACAAGAGCTTAAAGAAGGAAAAAGAAAAAAGAAAAAAAGAAACCTCTCATAACAATGCAAAGTATTTAAGCATGACAAATTCAAAGAAGTTTTTTATTAAGAAAAAATTGGATGAGGGGGGTTGAGTCAATTATATTTTGGATTTAATTTTATGGTATAGTTTTATGTGGCACATGAAAGAGAGAAATTTGTATTGAAACAATTGAGACCCACTTTCCCAGTTCCTGGCTCTTTCCTGGAAGATGATTAAAAGCAGACTTTTTTTTCCAGACGAGACATAAAAATTAAATGATCTACAGTATATAGTTATTTTTTCAAATGTTTGGAGGCTTATAAATAACTTCTACAATCAAATGCACACATACAAGCAGCAGAGAATCTGGTTCTAATTACTTGTACTTTAGTTGAACTTTGGCGTTTCCTTTGACTTTCTGCCTAATGTATGTGAGCTGTGTGCCTTGCACTCCTGCAGTGAATTCACAAAAAAAAAAAAAGAGGCAAAAAATCCAGACTCTTGTTGGTGCCAACAAAAATGAGGGTTAACAGAATGTTTTGACCAAATGCAACACTTTGCTATTCACCCTAATTAGCTGAAATTGCTGCTTCCCACCAGGGACCCTTAGCTCAGTATTCAAAATTCCCTTGAGGCTATCCAGGAAATGCCATTTGCTTTACAACTTCTTATTCTTTTAAGACTCAACTGTCCAAAGTGTGCATTAACACACAAACTTAATAGTCTACGTTTTTTAGCAATATGCAGGGCATTTCAGAGTGCCTGCCTGCTTCTAGTTGGTCACAAAGTAAAATACCTCCTCCATCTGTCAACATGGTTTAGTTGGCAGTAAATTAGCTCTCACAAAGCACACTGTGCTTTTAAAGATCTTATCTGCTGCTTTATCTAACCCTTAGAAATATTTCAGACATCTTAGGAATTGTGAAGTGACCAGATTGTTTGGGAGTCCCTTTGTGTTTAAGTGGCATTCAGGTGTTGGGTGACAGCAATGAGGCTCTGTTTTCTCAGGTGAGTAAGGACCCAAAGTGTCACATCCTTCAGGATAGGACTGACTGGCATGAAAAGAAGTAGGGTTTTTTGTTTTGTATTTATTTTAATTCTTCCTAAACTTCCAAGACTGCTTTAAAAATGCCTCTTCTGGAAATGTTAAATGTCCACCCCCGTCCTTCCGTTTTATCCACCTTCCATGTGCCAACATGCATAGAGGCCTTCTGCTGTCATGTGTCCGCTACCCACCAACATGATATAGGAAGAATGCTTTATACTTCCTGAGCATGAATTGCCACAAATGCCTGCATCAGACTTC